ATTAGATTAAAATATTTTTATTTTTAAACATTTTAGAATTAAATAAAAATTAACAAAGTCCCCTCTTAACTTTAAAAAAACTAACAACTATACACATTTACTACATATCTTCCTGTATTTGACTAAATATGCCAAAATTTGTTTTTGGTGTAATGAAATGTTAGCTACCTTAACAAGTACAATATAGCAAAAACATCTTCCTACAGCTATGGTGAATTACAGATCAAGTATCTGCTACAAATTTTTTCACAAATAAAACAACTAAATTATCATTCTGCTTTCTGATTGATGATAAATTCATTTGGGAAAAACAATTAGTTTGGATATATCCTATATATCTTATAAACCAACAGCTAAATGAGTAGTAAGCTTGTCTAAATGTTATTAGAATAAATGAAACCTCTATAACAAATTGTTGATTCACGACCAAAAAGCTGAACTCATGTAACAAATAACCCCAAGTGTATTCCAACATACAGTATCATGACATGAGTTTATAAGGAGAGAAGGTACAAATGGAAATGCATATTAAAATATGTATATTTGTGTAATAAACTATGCTCCAAAATGTTTATATATGTTCTTATAAATGAAAATAAATTTGCAAAAACACTCTAAATTTTTTATTATGTACAACTAAATATAAAATCACTCAGAAATTAGGTATTAATCATGGAAAAATCCAATTGTCAGTATGGTACACGGAGCTATTATTTTTTAAAAACTATGCTCCTTTTCTTATCTTTCAGCTATTTCATGGTATTCATTTAGAATATATTATTTTTATAATACAGTAATACAACCTTTTAAATGGCAGAATTAAACTACTTTCAAAAATTTTTTCCAAAATGCAAATTGATCAAAGATCAATGATAATTAAAACATATTCCTTTTACAAGTCACTTTAGAAACCTATACCAATGATTTTAGAAATAAACTCTCCAGCAATTTTACTCTCTGGGAAAAAAAATAAAGCAATATGGCTTAAGATGTTAAAATAACTGATATATGTCACAATCTTAAAGAACTGTACTCCCACTGCCCTGACCTAACTATAAGACTATTTGGGTGAGGGAGGTAAGAATGAGTAAGCGAAGATATAGAAGTATAAAAAAATGAAACAGTAATTCAAAAATTCCCAAATTATCACTTTTTTTAAGAAATAAAAAAAGATATAATTAAAAAGCATAACCTGGCTTTAATATACTTCTGGAAAAAAGACAACAGTATTTCTTTAAAAGATGATAAATGGTCTTCAAAACCATATCTGATCAAATTAAACATTTAGAAATAATACCTATAAACTTTACCCATTTACTGCATGTATTCCATTCTAATGATGATAGAAGAAAGTGAAGAGAAAAGAATGAAATAATAGAATTAATGCTTTGTCAAAAAATAAAAATTTTTTAAATGATCCAAGATAATGACTGCAAAATTGTACTAAAGGTAAAAATCAGGTAAGACTAAAATAATCTAAAAAAATTTAAAATCATATTTAAGTTCAATAAATCTGAGCATTAATATAAAATGTTAAATGTGCTACTATTCTCTTATGAGACTAAAGAGTTAAGGAGCAGACTTTTATTTAAAATTCAATAGAGAATAAACAAATTCAGAATAACGCCAACTACAATACAATATACTATTATATTGTATTACTGTATATATTGTATTAATAGTAGTACTGCTACTACTATTATAAATTTATTATTCTCAATTGGAATTTTATAAACTTTAAAGAGTCCTTGAGTTAATATTTTTACAACTTCATTATAGAACAGAATAGATTTAAATAAAATACAATGAAAATAAACTTTTGCTTCAGGAGAATTCTGAATGTCTATGTCATACATGATAAATTTATACACAAAAAAATTTAAATAACTATTTAAGCAGTAAATCCAGCTAGAAAAACAGCACATCACTATCATATAAATTCTTAAAACAGGTGAATACAAAAATATTACATGATAATCTCATACAGACACATTACAACCAATGAACTTCCAGGTACAAAATATAATTCATTGCCAATTTTATTTACATTTTTATAAAAATGTAAATACACACATACATGTTTATAATTACATTTTTCAGCAATTTTATTTCCATTCAAATGAACCAATGTGTTAACAAACTTCTCTATATGTCAGAGACAGTATTAACAGGTGAAAGGTATGTTTTCCTGGCTCATCTTAAAGCTAGAATGCAAAAACATTGCCATCTAGTGTTTTGTTTGTACCCAACAAGCACTTCCAAAATAAATGGTATTTCTGTTTTTCACTAATAAATTACGTGTGTGTTGGTTAAATACAAACTGCCATTCCCATGGTTAAGAGTATAATTTTGATAGATGAATAAAAGGAGAAAAAAGAAAAATAGAGGTCACTGGGAGTGAATGGAAAGAAGAAAATATAAGGCATATGGGAGAAATACTCTTTGGATGTGATTCCTGCCACATTTTGTTCTTAAACACATTACTTGATTTTCTTGGATACTTTACTGACCAAGCAAAAGTAAAGATCAACTCCCTAGAACTAGTTGCCTCTATCCCTATGTACTCCCCTCCCTTTCTATCCCAAATGAGAACTAAGACCAAATTCCTAAATGACTTGTTATTAAATTAACATAAACAAATTCATTTATAGCAATACTTTAAGTATACAAAATTTACCATTTTGATTATAAAATGTTAATTAGAAGGGATAGAGAATAAAAAGATCAGCAACTACAACTGTCAAGTTTGAAAAAAATTACCTTAATTAACCAACAAAGATGCATTTTGGGCCAACTGTTCTCTTAACTATGTAATATTACTGGCACTGCTCTAACTACAAAGACTTCTGACATTGCTCATTACAGTCAAAGGCTCAGAGCAGCTAGTAAATCTCTAATCAGAAACCTCCCAGTTTTTAATTGCTATATTTCTTCCCAGAGGATAAAACTGGTGAATAGTTTATTTCTAAAAAGAGAAAATGCTCTATGCATATAAGGTACAATATGTAAGGTACCAATAATAAGGTGTGACATGTGGTAGCAGTAGTGCTACGATGACTACTACTACTACTACTACTACAATCACAACTACAATTACTACAATGTAACCCCATTAAATTCCAACCAAACCAGTGTAACAGACCACAAGTATGCGCTGCTTTTCAAACATTTCTTCGGATCATATCAACCCTTCTTTCTGAATCTCTAACCTAAACTCTATACTTTGGAAATAAGACATCAGGTGATTTTAACCTATTATTTCTCTATTTACCCATTTACACATTTCTATATAATAAACATGTATGACTTATGTAAATTAGAAATATTTAAAGAACAAAAACGCCTACACATTCTCTACAGCCAAGCCTCATTTTTCATCTTCTGTGAATTCTTTCATCTTGCCCAATATAGAAGTGATCTCTTTCTGCTCTAAACTTCTCAGGAGGACTACCTAGCATTCTCTTACAGCCTTAAGAAAGTATTTTTAAGTATACGCTTTAATCCCCTAAAACAAATTATAAGGTCATTGAAAGAAAAAACATGGATTATTCTTCACTGTGCTCCCTAACACGGGTAATATTTGGGCACCTGAGAAGGACAATCACATGTGATGCAAACATGTTTCTGCTCTGTTAAAAGCATTGTCTATCTCACTTCCTTAGGCTTTAAATCTCAAAGGTTTACTCATTGCATCATATTATAAAAGTTAATCTCTCTGATGTATTGTAAGGCTCAACTGCTTTTGATAAAGACCTGATATTTTAAAATACCTGATAATTTAGTTATTGCAACAGTAAACACAAAACAAAAAATTCGTATGTTGTATGTAGAAAGATATTAATAAAAGGTAAAGTTTGATTAAAAACCAATTTCAGACAAAGCATTTTCAAAAAATATATAGAAAAAAATCCCTGCAACACAAATTAAAACTGAATTACTTTTTTAAAGTTATCAGCATTAGGAATCTACCAACCTATCTATCTAGCTATCTACCTAGCTATTTAAGCAGCCTAGTAACTGAGTGAACTGCGTTTCTTCAAGAACACACAATGAATGTAGAGACAATTTTCTATACATACTGACACTTATAAAAATTATCTTCACTCAATGTTGAGAAAATTGAGACTATATTTGTTACTCAAACTCTTCTCTAAATGCAAAATTAAAAGTTGGCAGCATACATTTGATTACAAAGTCTGACAGCTATTCCGGGGCTAGATTTATTCCATGAATTGATTAAAATGCAAATATTATTTACATATTTCTCAACCTAAAAATGCATACAGAAAACAAAATGCTCACTGCAATATCTGAGATGACTTTGCTTTTAAATAAATATTAGTTACATAATTTTGCTTTTTCTTCTAACCACTTGTACCATGTGCTAAACATTGTTTTTTTGGACCATTTAAGAAATCTACTGTGACCATAGTTTTAATAAATTGTTTTTTCTTAAAATGTCAACTAAAAAACAAACCTTAACTATTTATTTTTTTAAAGTCATATTTTCTATTTTTATGCTTTTGCTGCCACCTAGTGAAATTGTGAGAACTTAATATTCCGGAAAATGGCATCTTTTAATAAAAGCACAATTATTTGCAAAGTACACAGATGAGGACTACGGACATTTGTAGATTACTCTCTTAAAACAATTATTTAAAATTTTGTTTTCATTAAATTATAATTCATCTACTTAGTTATCAAGCCACTTGTTTAACTGGCAAGATAATTATGCTCATTTAATTTAAAAAATTCCTTTACCAAAAAAAGAGCCAACTTAAATTATTTTGCCATGAGGTTATACTTGTAAATATAAGCAAATTTAGTTATACCGCCAAAGATTCTATATATGTAATTTTCAATTACCAGAAAAATGGTTTATTATATAGTTAAAACAGCAACATATGCTGAACAAAAATGTGAACACATGGAATTCTATCAACTCTACCATCTGAAGAATCCCACAAAGATGACAGATAATAACCCATGATTAAGCTTACCTGGGAAAAAATATTTGCTGTTGGAGCAACTCTGCTGTCCACAATACTATATAATATTGCTAATAATCTGTCTAGTGGAAATGGTTTTGGCCCAAGGAGATGATTGCTCGTCTGTAGAAAAAAACAAAACAAAACAAAAATAAGAATTTTCTTCTTATACCAGAGCACTCATTTTCTGTACTATGAAACTGCCAATAACAATGTATTTATGTTTTACACAGTTCCCCTAAAAATGCTAATAAATGTAACCTGCAGCCTCTAAGTTAGAAGTTTACCTGATATGATCACGATTTATCTTTTCTTTACAATTGTTTTGTTTAGAGACAGGGTCCGCTCTGTCACCCAGGCTGGAATGCAGTAGCAGTGCAATCATGGCTCACTACAGCCTTGAATTCCTGGGCTGAAACCATTCTCCCACCCCATACTCCACTCCTGAGTAGCTAGGACTCTGGGCACACACCACAATGCTTGGCTATTTTTACAAATTATTTTGTAGACACGGGGTCCCATTATGTTGTCCAGACTGGTCTTAAATGCCTGGCCTCAAGCAATCCTCCCCAACTTGGCCTCCCAGAGTGCTAGAAATACAGGCATGAGCCACCATACCCAGCCATTATTTATCTTTTAACATATTCCTCAAGATTTCTGACTTAGTATCAACAAATATTAATTAAAGAACTCACAGTCACCTGGTCCAGTCCTACATATGCCTCCTATTTTGCTGTTATAACCAGGCGTTAAAGTGATTTTGCCAAATCCAAGATAATAACCAAACCAGGTTCCTAAATCCTAGACTAGAGCTTACTACTTATTTCTCACAATTCCTCTTTGTACCACTGCAAGGAAAATTTATTTGTTTAACCTTAGTAGCTCTAAAAAGATTAATTACAGTAAGTTGTAGCTTAACTTAGAAAACTAATAAAGTAAATAAGCTATCAGCCTGAAACAATGTAAAATTTTAAAAAAGTTTTCAAGATTGTAAAAAGTTCATACTTGTATACAAACTTATGTGGTGTAACTCATGTCATCAGAAATGAGATATAGTGCACAAGTTCCAGTTTGTTAGCAGATAATTTTAACAGCAAATATTTATTTATTTATTCATTTATTTTGAGACAGAGCCTCACTCTGTCACCCAGGCTGGAGTATAGTGGTGTGATTTCGGCTCAGTGCAAACTCCACCTCACAGATCCAAGTAATTCTCATGCCTCAGCCACCCAAGAGTGGGGGTTGCAGGGATGCACTACCATGCCTTGCTAATTTTTGTATTTTTAGTAGAGATGAGGTTTTGCCATGTAGGACAGGCTGGTCTTGAACTCCTGACCTGAAGTGATCTGCCTGCCTCGGCCTCCCAAAGTGCTAGGATTACAGGCATAAGCCACTGCACCAAGCCACAAATAAGTACTTTATATTAGCAATGGCAAATGAAACTGAAAACTATATTTACGTGCATGGGAATAGTCATTTATTTATTTAAAAGAAGAATGACTGTAAAGAAGAACACCTACTTGGAATTATACCATGAAGTTTTTAACCTCAGCTATTTATTTCTAAAAGATACTTAGAAATCATTTTCCAGGTGTTAAATTTTGTATGCTTTTGTCATTAAATACTTCAAATATATAAAAGTACAGAAGTGAATATAATGAACACCAATGAACTCACCAATTTTATGTAATATACTGTGCAATACATGCAGAGAAAGAAAACATTAGGTCACATTATGAATAAGCTGAAGCTTCCTTGAACCCTCTCCCATCCTATTCTCCCTTTCCTTCTCTAGAAAAATTCCACTATCGACAATTTGATGTACTCTCCTGAAGGTTTTATACTACCACATATGTATCCTCGAACAATATACAGCAATGTTTGCATGGTTTAAAATTTTATATATATCATTTTGAACATACGTCTCTACCAATTGCTTTTTGAGATTTATCCATACAGATGCATGTAGCTCTAGTCCATTTTTACATTATCTTACAGAATTCCATTCTATAACTACTTTAAAAAATTCATTTCTATTACAAATAATCCTGTGACTGACAATCTTGTATATTTCTCCTTGTGCACATGTGTCAGTTTCTCTAAGTAGGATTGCTGGATTAAAATACAAAGGCAGAGTCAGTGCTATGCATTTGCCAACACTGATTCTTCCCTGACACACAGGAAGACTACATTTCTCAGTCCCTCCTGCAGTTAGATAGGGGTCATGTAACTGGGGCCTGGCTGTCCAATGGAATATGAATAGTAGTGATGTAAGCTACTTCCAAGCCTGGTCTTTCATCTTCTTTCCCTTTAGTGGCAACTTCAGAGGCCACCATGTTTCACTTCATATCACTATAAGATGAAAGAGGGCCATTCAATTCATATTCAGTATGTTGTAAGCAACATAAGTATTTTTTTGTGTGTAAAGCCAACATGGGTTGGGGGTTTGCTTCTTACTACAAGCATAACGAGTCTATCCTGACTAATACTAACATTAACTTCACATATTAACTTTAGTAGATATTGCCAACTGGCAGAATAGGCAGACTCTCACTCTACATTATCACCAGCACTTGAAATCATAGACTTTTTTTTGTCAATCCAAGAGTATGAAATATCTCGCTGTTGTTTCAACTTGCATTTCTCTCATTAGTGAATAAAGCTGATAATCATGTCATGATTATTAGACATTCAGGCTTCTTATTGTATCATTTATCCACTTGGCTATCAAATTTTTGTCTTTTTCTTATTGGTTTCTAATGAGTCTTTAAAAATTCTAGACATTAGGTCGGGCATGGTAGCTCATGCCTATAACCCCAGCACTTTGGAAGGCTGAGAGGGGTGGATAATTTGAGGCCAGCCTTGAACTCCTGGGCTTAGATGAGTCCTTGGTGAAACCCTGTCTCTACAAAAACTACAAAAATTAGCCAGACATGGTGGCGTGTGCCTGTAGTCCCAGCTACTCAGGAGGCTGAAGAACGAGAATCACTTAAGCCCAGGAGGTGGAGGCTGCAGTGAGCCGTGATCAGGCCACTGCACCGCAGCATGGGCGAAAGAGTGAGACCCTGCTTCAAAAGTAGATAATAAAAATTCTAGATATTAACTGTCTGTTGTAGGAGTCCAAGAAGAGTGGTAAACATCATTGTAGGCTCTGGAGTCAGGCAGTCCTGGAATTGAGGAAAACTGCCTCTAAGAATGAGAAAAACGAAACTCAGTTTCTATAGTGCACTTTATAGTTCAAAATTCTCCATCTTCTGACAAGAGAAGCCACCAGTGGTTTGGACATACAAGGTAGAAGAAGTGATGTGAAGTCTAAATGCTCCTTTCACTAATTTCAACCTTACCTGACCCCACCTTCAAAACACTTAGTGTTTTTAATCCCTAAGCTTTCTCCAGGTTCCTAAGGCCAAATCAGCTAAGTTTGAGGCTTAGGTTTCAGCCTTTTCTCTAATCTGCTTAGTCACCTCAATATCTCCCTACCATGCAATTCCAAATTTTGGAGGTCTCTCATCTGATTAGTAGTTATGAGTTTACTTTGTTTATTTCTTCAACGTTATTGTTGTGGGTGCTTCAAAGGGGAAAAAAAAGAGAAAAATGCCTGTATTCAATGGGCTGTATTTAACTAAATAATCCAAGTTAAACTTCATCTACTAAGTCACTAAAAAAACTTTGCCTAATCAGTTTTCATCTCCAGCACCAGCTCACTTAAATAAATGTACCTTCAATCACTATATTCAACATAACAAAACTCTATTACATTATAACAGTACCTTATCAACATAAATAAGTTCCTATATTTAAATGACAAATATAATTATAGATTTCTTTATTCCCTATATTATCTTCATTTCTTAAGTTTCTGCCATTAGAGAAATTAAAATGTAAATACCTTTTCGTGTTTTTTTAGAAAGTTGGTTTTCTTGATTTTTCCATGATGCTACAATTAAGAAAAATAAATTTTAAGTTGAAAAGACAGTATTCCACAAAACCGGAAAACAGTATTTAAAATATGGCACACATAATACTAATCTATATATCTTGTTTTTAAATTGTTATTCTCCTTATCACCTTATATACATATTTAACTTGATATTTTAGGCCAATTTCATTTAGACTTGGATTGGATGTAAGACTGCTTTTGAATGTAAAGTAAGAATTTCTAAAATAAAATAGTGACATTTCCTAAAAGAACTTATTATATTGATTTAGTACAGCATATATATTGCTATAAAAATGAAACTTCCAAACAGCTATGGATTTTTATTCATCTCATAAACAAGTCTGGCAATTCACATAATAAACGCTGTCGGAGAGAATTTTAGCTAGGCACAATTCACATAATAAACGCTGATGGAGAGTATTTTAATTAGGCACTCAGGAGTCAACACTGGGGAAAACAATAAATGTGGTCCCTGCCCTCTAGAAACTAAAGATAGCTGGGTGCAGTGGTGCACACCTATAATCCTAGCACTTTGGGAGGCTGGGACGGGAGGATCACTTGAGGCCAGGAATTCAGGACCAGCCTGGCCAACATGGCAAAATCCTGCCTCTACAAAAAATACAAAAATTGGCTGGGCGTGGTGGTGCACACCTGAATCCTAGCTACTTGGGAAGCTGAGGCATGAGAATCACTTGAGCCAGGAGGCAGAGGTTGTAGTGAGCCAAGATCACACCACTGCACTCCAGCATGGATGACAGAGTGAGAGTCTGTCTCAAAAAAATAAAGTCCTAAAGTGTAGCACAAGACAAGACAATACATACATATGTACATACATACATGCAAACTGCTCCAAGTCCAAAGAAGAAAGCAAACATCATATGAAATAGGAAGGAAAAAATAAAGAGGTCCTATTTAAGGACAGGGAGAACTGCTTTGAGAAGGCAACATTTAAACTGAAGCCTGAAGAATGAAGAGTAGAGAAGGAGCTTTCCAGAAAGACAGAACATACAGACAGAGATCAGAATGTTTTGAGGAAGGAAAATGGCTAATGTGATGGGAACACAGTAGGTGAAGAAGAAAAAAACAACTCTAAACTGGGATTTCTCCAACTAATGAATATACAGGAAAGGCTTCTTTAGTGTTCTGGACAATAATTCACTATAGTAAGAGTTTTAGAACAACAAGAGTTACCATTCTTAAAATTATTTCCATCCTCCATACTTTTAACAAAACTTTACATGTTTTTAAAAGCTAGAATTATTACCTAAGATATATTCAATTTCTTCTTTTCTATGAAACTGCCTACCTTCTCTCAAATTTCAGAAATTACTTTAAAGCCTTAAAAGAATGAGTCCTAAATACATATTTGGCAATCTTATTCTAATCTCTTCCCCTTAGAAATTTACAAGTGTTAAGAAATTTCAAAATATTCCTGGGATCTCAAAAAATAAAGCAAAAAGAAGTATGTTACTATTACCTTAAGAAAGAACCTCCTGTCAGTTCTCGCTGGATTGTATGAAGCAAGGTATGCAGCAATTAGAATAAACTTAGAGTAATATGGAAGTTCCACATGAGTATGCGCTGAGAGACCTATATAACAAAACACTTTGATGAAGTATTTATTAGGGTACCATTGGGTTTTAAGTATCTCTTCTCACTTAACTTTTGATTTCCATACGGTATTCTCTCGTCAAAATGACTTACTTCCTTACCTTAAAAAGTACCATAATGATGGGCATTGTGGTGATGAACATTAATGACAGACTTTACTCAATCTATTATTTTTGTTTGGCTCCTCTCATTTTGAAGTCTAAATCCTAGCGTTCTTCCCCTCAAGGCCATGCTCTCCATTAAACCTTCCATGATGTTTCCCTAACACACCAAAATAAACTTATTTCTACTATGAATTCCTACTCTGAGTATTCCCACATAACATGATGCCTTATATTAACAGTTAACTGTACAAACTGAGTATACTTTGTGTGAAATGCTTGGGACCAGAAGTGCTTTGGATTTTTTCAGATTTTAGAATATTTGTATATACCAGTTGAATATCCCTAAATTCTGAAAAATCAAAGAAAACAAGCATTTCCTCTGAGCTCATGTCAGCACTCAGAAAGTTTTGGAGCATTTTCTATTTGGAAGTTTTGGATTCAAAATGCTTAGCCCTGTACATAAATCATACCCCTTAGTAAACAATACTAAGTTGAAGGAGCTATGTCTAACATTTTTCTGTATCTCTACACTGCCTCGCACATAGGAAATAACTGTCCATAGGAATGGACAAATCAGTCAAGTGGCACTAATTCCTAAGGAAAAGGAAGGAATCTGATATTTACTGAAAATCTACCATGTGTCAGATACTGTGTTAGGTGCTTTGCTTAAGCATCACTTTGAATCTCTGCAGTAACAACACTAAATATTCTTCCCATTTTACAATTGAAAAACTGAGCTGGGTTCAAGGTCAAACAGATAGAAAGTAGTGCAAACCAATTATTACAGATTTTTTTCTACTCTGGCATCGATCTGTTTTCCTAAAAACATACAACTAGAAGTCACTTGTAAAGCATCTGGAGCATTTATTTTATTTATTTATTTATTTATTTATTTTTTGAGACGAAGTTTCGCTCTTGTTACCCAGGCTGGAGTGCAATGGCGCGATCTCGGCTCACCGCAATCTCCGCCTCCTGGGTTCAGGCAATTCTCCTGCCTCAGCCTCCTGAGCAGCTGGGATTACAGGCACGCGCCACCGTGCCCAGCTAATTTTTTGTATTTTTAGTAGAGACGGGGTTTCACGATGTTGACCAGAATGGTCTCGATGTCTTGACCTCGTGATCCACCCGCCTCGGCCTCCCAAAGTGCTGGGATTACAGGCTTGAGCCACCGCGCCCGGCCGCATCTGGAGCATTTAAAAAGAACAAAACACAAAACAGCATTTTAACACCACTATTGCATACATTTTCTTTAACCATCAGCCACTGACCTTTGTTTAAAAAAAAAAAAACAACATTTTTGATATTTGCTTATTTTTAAAAGTCAAATTAGTTCTATTTAATATTTGGCATAAATCCAAAGGAGCAGTTTTCTTAGAGAAAAAAAAGCACAAAGCTTTCAAAACATAATCACCAAAGTGCATACCCTAAACTGCTTAACATAAAATTACACTTTATTCCATAAAACTCATGAAATATAAACATAATGAGACAAAACTGTCATATAATTAGATTGCTTTAACAAAAGCATTTAAAGAAATAGAAATTGCTTGATTTTCATGACTTAATCCAATATTTACAAAATAAAAAACTGGTATCTCAACTTTATTTCCTCCCATTAGAGCTTCAGTTAAAGAAAAATCGTTAATCAAAATATCATTATAGCTTAAAAAGTAAATTCTCTTTTATAATACTATTTCCTGACTGAATGCTCCTTAGTATTAACTTTAGTATCTCGATAATTAGTTAAAGAAGCATCTCTGGTAACTGACTCAATATTCCTTTGATACCTTTCAGTTGCCCCAGATCTGTGTCATCTTTCTGTAGCTTTTCCCACTGGGAACTGAAAGCAAATAGAAGAGCAAAAATGGATTAAAAATGTAAAACCAATATGCTGTACTTAAAACAGAGCCCTAGAAAAACTAAATTTTTAAATTTATTAACAAAATAGAAAAGAAAAATATGTACATGCAATATACATGTTTGTACTTGTACAAAATAATTCAATGTATATATTAGAATGACATAAATTTATAAAGCAATAGCTAGATGCTATTTAATAATCTCTCTTATTATGATCACTGTTGTAGCTATTAAAAAACATCAACCAGGCCAGGTGTGGTGGCTCATACCTGTAATCTCAGCACTTTGGGAGGCCAATGAGGGAGAATCACATGAGGCCAGGAGTTTGAGTCCAGCCTAGGCAACATGGTGAAACCCTATCTCTACTAAAAATACAATAATTAGCTGGGCATCGTGGCACATGCCTGTACTCCCAGCTACTTGGGTGGCTGAGGCACGAGAATCACTTGAACCTGGGAAGTGAATGCTGCAGTGAGCTGAGACAGTACCACTGCACTCCAGCCTGGGTGACAGAGTGAGCCTCTGTCCAATCAATCAATCAATCCACCAACATTCAGTAAAACTCCCAATGTTCTAGTTAGCATATTAGATACAATTGTCATATAGTATTTCTAAACTCTATAGCAATTTCTCAGAGTAGGTCTCACACCAGAAAACTGAGGCCCAAAGGTTAAGTTACCCAAGGACACTTAGCCAGTCCATAGTGGAGCTATGAGTCAAATCCTCATAGGATGCTTGCAAAGTTCATGGTATTTTAATGGCCGCATCCTGGCCTTACTTGCAATTAAAACTGTTAAACAACCAAAACACTATTAAGAATATGAAGTGATTATGATATGACAAATTGAATTTATAAAGCAACACACTATAGTATAAAAAAAAAAGAATTACCTAGGACAGTTGTAGCTGCATCACTTCGAAAAAATGAATAGCTTTCTCATTAAAAAAAAATAAATAAATAAGGCATTTCTATGCAAAGGCCCTCTCCAACTCTAAAACCCTTAAAAAATAATGAGCTAATATACAGGGCTAATTTAAAAATAATCCTGGATATAGAACAATTAAATATCCAAAATCTTCAAGAAAAACACAGTGGAAGAGATAAGGATGACTGTGGGCCTTCTTTGAGTATGCTTTTTAAAAAATAGTTTTAGCTTTTGAAGTATTCTTTGATACCCATCTCTCACCTGTATAGCAATCAACAAGTTTATTTTATTCTCTTTTCCTTCTTTTCCCATTTTTTAAGTTTTAATATTCCTACCTTGTCAGAATATATAATATTTACATACTATTCTTCTACTCTTATTTCCACCTTAATCTTAGTTTTGACCTAAACTTAATTACATTCAATGTTCATCATCAATCCTTTTGTTAGTTTCTCCAGTCATGTCTTTTTTACATCAAGGTTGTCCTAAGAAATGCCTTATAAGGAGTGTTCTCTGAGTTCTTCCATGTTTAATATTGCTTCTCTCTAGCCTTGATAGTTGAATGACAGGTTGACTGAACATAAAATTATTTGGCTTACACCTCCTTTCTCCTTGAGTTTCTTGAAATCGTTGATGCATTTGTGGTCTTGCTTTTTTACTGATTCACTTTCCTTTTTAAGTGACTTATATTTTTTGCCTGAAAGTTCAGAGATTTTTTTTCTGTTATTTTTAAAGTCTAAATGCTTTCCAAGAAGTCTCTGTATTCAGCTTATGATGGCCCTGCCTCCAAAGGTATCAAAGTCTAAATCCCTAGAACCTGTGAATACATTCTTACAGGGTAAAAAGTACTTAGCAGATGTGCCAGTCAAGAATCTTCAGATAGATATTACACTGCATTATCCAGATAGGCCCAATATAGTCACAGGATCCTTCTAAGACAAAGACAAGTCAGAGAGAAGAGAAAACACTATACTACTAGATTAGAAGATGGAGAATGGAACCATAAGCCAAGGAATGCAGGCAGCCTCTGCAAGTTAGAAAAGGCAAATAAACAGATTCTTCTCAAGAGTCTCTAGAAGGAAAGTCCTATGGACCTGTTTTAGACTTCTGACATACAAAATTGTAAGATGGCAATTATGTGTTATCTTAAGTCACTAAATTTCTGATAATTTATTACAGTACAATATACAAGCACAGTTTCAGAATCGATCATTCTCGATTAATTGGGAAAATGAACTATATTAATGTGTAAAGCTAGGTCTTCTACTTCTGAAATGTTTTCTTGGATTATAATTTTAGATCTTAATTCCAATCTATTGTTGTTTTCCGTCTTCAGGAACTCCAATTAAATATGTTAAATCTTCTTTCTCTATCACATTTGTCACATTTATCAGACAAAGAGGTAAATCTGTCATATTTACCTCTTTTTTTAGTTTTGTTCTCTTGGTTATTTTTGGTCCTCTCCTCAATGTCCCCTATGTTCTCAGTTGAATCTGCTCTCCCTTTTTCATTTTCATTACTAACTACTATTGCCTGAACTCTGCTCTTGAGTTTAATCAACTTTTATTTCACAACCCCTATTCTTTGTCCATTTATTCTGAGTTACTAAATTTCAAACTTAAAGTATTCTTTACATACCTGAAAATGCTTTTTAAAAAAATCTAAACCAAGTCAAGCTTTTGTATTGCAATCTTCCTCTGCTCTGTTTTCGGTGTTAAGGGGGAAATTTTCATTAACTGAACTGTTTTTACTCATATTTTCTGTTTCTTCTTATAATACCTTTACATGGCTTTTCATGTTGTCTTTTCATTGAAATGCCTAATATTTGCCTGAAGCAGTAGTAACAGGTGATTTTATGAATGCAGGAGTAAGGTTTTTGGGTGGCACAGATTACTTAATTCTGAAGTGCTCCCTTGTGTAAAAATAATGAAGTCAAGTTTCTTTAATAAGTGGTGCCATTCTGAAAAAGAGGGATTGGCTTAACTTCCGATTTTGTCATTTCTGTTGGGGGGACAAAAGGAATCTTTAATTTCTATCCTTTCTTTCCATTCTTTTCCTTCATTACCAACTCTTAAAGGAATATCACACCTTTCTCAATCAACTGTCTCCCATCAAAACAGTACTTTCCCAAGACTATCATAAAACAAAAAAAATACAAAAAGTTAGACAAGTATGGTGGCATAAACCTATAGTCCCAGCTACTTGGAGGTTGAGGTGGCAGGATCACCTGGGCCCAGGGAGATTGAGGCTGCAATCAGCCATGATCTTGCCACTGTACTTCAGCCTGGGCGACAAGAGTAGAACCCCATCTCAAAAAAAAAAAAAAAAGCCATTTTGATTCTCCAGTAGCTAGTGCTCTAATCCTTCAAGCCTCAGAACTGTTCACTTCTTTCTTACTCAGTGTTGAACTCTCTTTCTGGCAAGTGATTTCATTTATATTTCACCACTACTAGTCAACCTACCCCTTGTCCCAACAATCTTCTCTTTTCCTTTCAGTCTTTGACTTTTCACCTCAGCATGAGCTCCACAACTGGCCTTGCTGGTTTCAGTTTTTACTTCACTACTGATACATAAAAACTGAAGTTTGTAGCAATTTCTAACTCATGTTAATACAGCAGGCAAGGGTTACAGGTGGTTCTGTTGGCTGTCCTTATTGATACTATGAAGAGAATTGGATTTAGGTGGCCATAATTATCCTATGGGACTAGAAGTCCCTTCATTATTATGTAAGAATAATTTTAACAAGCAAAAAAATTTTCCTACCTTTAGAAGAAAACATTACAAGCTTTTTCATTCTGACTTCAGAAAACTCTCATCAAATGAGATTTTGTTATTAAAAAGAGAAAAGGAATAATAGTATCCTTGTAGTATTTCTGCTAATTAAGAAACTACTAAATTTTTACCTGAATTACAGGCTATATCAGCTAATTATATTGAAATCAAACAAAATTATTAAGGAAAAGTAGTTAGTGATAGAGTAAGGCATTCATGAGAGAAAAACAGTAAAAAAATGACTAGAAAGAAAAGCAGGTAGTGTTTATGTTTTTAGGTTTCCTATACTGATTTGGAATCTAGACTTAATCTAATATCTGTAAGTCACTTTATTATTCACAATCATTTTCAGATATATTATTTAAATCTTTTAAGGATTGTTAGAGGAGGAAGCAAAGGCCTAGAGGTTTTAGGACTTGCTAAAATCACACATGGCAGACAATGGCTGAGCTAGAAATCAAAATCATGTTCTTCTCATGCACTAGGTGCCACCATGTCTCTCCTGAGTTGCTTCACTACTAAGAAATTTTAATAATAAACAAATGTCGATTTATGATGGTTCACCTCTTTTATAATCAAATTTTCTTTATATCATTCAAATATCTAGAATAAATATGAGAAAGCTTGTACTGACATTCCTATAACTTTCTAGGTTAAAAAAAAGCTTTGTTTCAAATTGTTTAACAATGGAGTCACTTGAGCTAAAAACCTCGACAAATAGAGCCTGGGAAGGCCATGAAGAAAGAGTTCTCATGAAGAAAGAGTTCTCATGAATAATGCTTGATAAAAGAACTATCATAAAAACCCAAAAAGAACATAACCTTGCACAAAGGTAACCATAACCTTATACAAAAATCCTGTGAGGACGTCTGCCTAGCAACTGCCTGTACATCTCTGAACTGGTACCACCTTTGTTATTGAACCTTGTAACCATGAATAGTTATCTCAAAACAATTATGTAATTCTCCTCATTCTTCCTTTAAAAACCTTTGTCTCCCTTTACTTCCCTGAATGTGCAGCGTGTGCATCTCCACTATAATGCCCATTCTCAAAGAGATACCATTTCCTTTTAGAGTCCCTCTCTGTTATTTAGGTTGATATATTGAAGTGAGACCTGCAGCAAGATCACCTTCAGAAGGAATCAACAGTTCTTAGAACTGGCATATAGTACTTACTTGAGCCCTTTGAACGTTCTGCTTCCAAGGCTCACCTTCTCTGAGCCTTGAGCCTCCCACTTTTTGACGGAAACTCTTGAATTCATTCAGGATCTGATTAAGGCCAC